CCTCCCTCCCTCCCTCCCTCCCTTCCTTCCTCTTTTTCTTTTTCTTTTTCTTAAAAATTTTTACCTAAGTAAGGGGTTGCCTGGGTGGCTCAGTCGTTAAGCGTCTGCCTTCGGCTCAGGTCATGATCCCAGGGTCCTGGGATCGAGCCCCGCATCGGGCTCCCTGCTCGGCAGGAAGCCTGCTTCTCCCTCTCCCACTCCCCCTGCTTGTGTTCCCTCTCTCGCTGTGTCTCTCTCTGTCAAAAAATAAATAAAAAATCTTTAAAAAAATTTTTCTTACCTAAGTAATCTCAAATTTATGACCCTGAGATCAAGAGTCACACATTCTTCTGACAGCCAGCCAGGCACCCCTGGATGGCCCTGTTTTTACTTTCTTTAAGTCCCTTACCCATCATTATACTTGATGACTAGTATTTCTCATTTAAAATAGCAAACGACTCTGAGTGGCTCTGGTGGAGGGCAAGTTCAGATATCGTTGTTGGAAGAAACTGGTTGAATGTAGATGTCTCTTTGGAGTAGGATTTGAAGAGCTGACTTTAGTTATACAAAATGCCAGATTACCCCTCTCACTGTCAAACTACCTTTTTATACTTCTATTTATCTTATCAAGGAGGATATAAGTAGACTTCAGGATTCAAATTTTGATCTGTTCTTGACCTTGATTTGCCAAACTTGGTAATTCTTTTTTTTTTTTTTTAAAGATTTTATTTATTTATTTGAGAGAGAGAGAGCACATGAGAGGGGAGAGGGTCAGAGGGAGAAGCAGACTCCCTGCTGAGCAGGGAGCCCGATGTGGGACTCGATCCCGGGACTCCAGGATCATGACCTGAGCCGAAGGCAGTCGCTTAACCAACTGAGCCACCCAGGCGCCCGGTAATTCTTTATCACTAAGAAAAAGTTGAAATGTTACAATAATGCAGTTTCTGTGGGTACAGAAACTTCTATTATTGGGGCGCCTTCTGTTATTACTGGCTCAGTCAGGGAAACATGTGACTCCTAATCTCAGGGCTGTGAGTTCGAGCTCCATTTTGGGTGTAGAGGTTACTTAAAAATAAAATCTTTAAAAGAAAAAAAAACCTATTGTTGACTTAAATATTGAAATATTTCAAAACAATGTGTTTGGCTCTTCTTCTGATAACACATTAAGTCAGGCACTAGTGCACACTACATCATAAACTGGATTGACTTGAAAAGAGCACCGAGGGGCGCCTGGGTGGCTCAATTGGTTAGGCGTCTGCTTTCAGCTCAGGTCATGATCCCCGCATCGTGCTCCCTGCTCAGCGGGGAGCCTGCTTCTCCCTTTGCCCCTCACCCCACTCATGCCTGTGCTTTCTCTCTCTTTCTCAGATAAATAAATAAAACTTAAAAAAAAAAAAAAGAAAAAGAAAAGAGCACTAAAATGCATGACTTGATACCTGCCCACTGTGTCTACTCTGGGCAATGGAAAGAAAGTTGGATACATCTGATTTTTGAAGACAAGTGTTTGTTTATCTGGAAACGGAGTGGTATTTGTGGGTCCTAAGACTCTGACCTGCGCCGATGGGGCGGCACGTCGGCCACCGCATTTGGTGGGCTCTCAGCGACGCGGGCGCTTTCCTCTCAGCCGTGACAGGGCGGGAACAGAGGCACAGAGACTGGAACACAAGCACGAAAAATACCTTACCACCTGGGAGTTGGCGGCAGGTCCAGGCACATCCCTTCCTCGGGCATTGGAGCAGCTGGTTTCCACAGCATGACTCCAGAACAGCAGAATTCAAAGAGTGAGGTTAAAAACCAGTAAATCAGCAGTCCCCTAACATCACCCTCAGCCTTCTCCTACTCCATCTCCCCAACAAAAAAACAAACAAAACTCATGCAGCATTTTCTCAACTAGACATCAGGATTCTTTTGCTTTCCGTATTTCCGAGGAAAACTTACAAAGATGGTTGAGGTCTTTTTAAAACACACAAGAACAAATATTGAACACTGACTCCTACTTCTACTTGTGTGTGGTTTATTTAATTTAATCTCAGAATAGGGGGAAACAGCATATTAGCAGACCTGACTGGAGGACGAGGCCCAGGATGGCCAGGTGACACAACCAGGATCAAATATGGTAAATGGCAGATGTGCCACCCCCAAATCCATGTCCTTCTCATTGTCACACTACTACACGTCTAGAGCACAGCTGATGGGTATAACCTTCTTAGCAAGAGTGAGCAGCTGAGCAGAAGGCAATCACAAAAGGAAGGCCGAGAGGAACTCTGCCCCTGAGCGCTGGAGCAGGGCCAACAGGGCAGAAGTATGCACCATAGATGCAATGTTATTAGGGGGCGCCTGGGTGGCTCAGTCGTTGGGCGTCTGCCTTCGGCTCAGGTCATGATCTCGGGGTCCTGGGATCGAGCCCCGCGTCGGGCTCCCTGCTCAGCGGGAAGCCTGCTTCTCCCTCTCCCACTCCCCCTGCTTGTGTTCCCTCTCTCACTGTGTCTCTCTCTGTCAAATAAATAAACCAAATCTTTAAAAAAAAAAAAAGATGCAGTGTTATTCGAAGCTTCTTTTTTTAAACTAGACAGAGGTGTGTTCATAGCCCGGCATGCCTCTCAAACATTCATTCAGCCTGCTTGGACACAACAGACATGCTGGCAGACCGGCAGAGGGGATGGGGGGGGGGGGGTGGCAGGGGGACTGGGGGAGTTAGAGCTGGCACGGGGTAACAGAAGGCCATCGGGAGGCCAAGGGCACTGCTCTCTGTCTAACAAAGGGCAGGAGAGTGAACCAGAGCCCCGAGGACAGTGCTCTTATCAGCCCCAAGGGAGGTGCTACCGAGCACTCTGGGAACCCAGAGGTGGCCCCTTTCAGATCTCGGGTTAGGTCAGAGATAGCGAGTGGCCTGTGGGTTGAGACACCAGAAAATGAAAGCAGCAAGAAGTACTTGGGCGCTTTTTCTTTTTTGTTTTTCCCCCCAGGGGACTCACAACCGTGTCCTCCTGGAACAGTTCAGTTGGCTGCAAATAAAGGTGGAGGAGCCGGGCAGTTCAAAGGTAGAAGGCGGCTCTCCCTCCCACCTTTCATTCAGAAAACCCACAAAGGGTAGCCTCAGGGTGTGTGTGGAAGGAGCAAGCAGAGACTCCGCCCAGTCTCCTCCTGAGTAGAGGGCAGCCTGCCCGAAGTGTGAGTGTGCATGCTTCTTTTTGTGGGCGCGGGCACGTGCATGTGCGTGTGCGTGCGCTTGTGTCGCAGGGAGGTGAGAACAGCTGGCCAGAGCCTCTTCCTCGGGTTGCAGTGGCCCACTGGGGCCATCACTGTGGACACTGTGGCCGTGCAAAGCTGGGGCCAAAGCCGAGCAGGTATTCAGAGTCTTGAGAAGGAAAATGGTGACTTTCTTCTTCTCTTCCTCCTTTTCTTTATAGAGTCCCTAATCTAGGGGTAGAGATAGGGATAGATAAATAAATTAGTTAGTTAATACTAAGAGCTAAGCACTGGGGATGACAGGTGGAAATACCATTGGCTCTGCAACTCAGAAGGGCACGGCATTTGGTGTGGAGGAGGGGCAGGGGTCCAGAGGTGGTATTTGTTATCTATTTCTGAGTAACAAATTAACAAAAACATAGCTGCTTAAAACAACAAACATTTATTATCTCACAGTTTCTTTGGGTCAGGAATCCAGGCTTGCCCTAACTGGCTGCCTCAGGGCTGAAGGTCTTGGAGGAGGAGGTCGCAGGTTAACGCTGACCGCTGGGGCTGCCAACTCATCTGAGGACTCAGCTGGGGGAGGACCCGATGCCAAGCTCAGTCACGTGGTTGCCGACAGGATTCGGTTCCCCCACAGGCTCTTGGTTGGAGGCTTCCCTCTGTTCCTTGTCACGTGGCCCTCATCACAGGGCAGTTTGCAACACAGCAGCTTCTGCCACATTCTGTTCTTCAGAATCCCAAGGGCATGAACAGGAGGAGGCAGGGATCAGTGGGGCCAGCTTAGAGGCTGCCTGTCATACCGTCTGAGCTGAGACCTGTAAAGTGAACAGCGGACTGCTGTTCTAGGCAGGAGGGGAGGGAGAGAGTTGGGAATGGCAGGTGTGGTGGCCGGCAGCTGAAATTCAGTGCGGCCAGAGCAGAGTGGCTCACGTGGGTGGAGGTGTGTGATGGAGAGGCCAACAGGGCCCAGAAGCTGTAAAACCCTTTAACCCAGGGCTGTGAAGGCCGACTCTGTCCTGGAGGGATGGAAAGCTTCAAGCTGGAGGCTGAAATTTGAGATTCAGCATTAGAAAGATTATACTGCTGTGGGGAGAATGGACTGGAGGGAGTAAGAGAAAGGGGGAGGCCATCAGGGTTTGAACTAAGGTGGTGACTGCACAGACGGAGTGGAGTCTCGAGATATTAGAAGTTGAAATCTGTTAGATTTGGGGACTAATAGTTTACTGTCTGTCTTCCCCTTCCAGAATACAAGTTTTCGGAGGACAGGGATTTTTGTAGTCTCTGGTATTCCTGGTGCCTAGAATAGTGGCTTTAAATGAAAGAATGGGGTTACCCCCACATTTCTGGCTTGACTGACATAGTAGAGCCTTTCTCTGAGATACAAAACAAAGAACAGGGGCGCCCGGCTGGCTCAGTAGGAAGAGCATGTGACTCGATCTCGGGGCCGTGGGTTCGAGCCCCACACTGAGTGTAGAGGTTACCAAAAATAAAGAAAAGACAAACCCACAAAGAACAAACATGGCTAAGAATGTAGTATTTGAGATACACTGAGGCTGAGGTGCTTTGTGGGATACCTAAGGGTAAAATGCTGGGTAGGCAGTTGAAATGTGGGCATCTGGAGACTTCCTGGAGAAACAGTGAGTCCTGAAGATCTGAGAATCACAGCACCCAAGGCTAGTTGTGGGAGTGGACAGTATGGCCCCAGGGCTGATACCTCAAGTTTCCAGGGCCCTAAACAGCAGAAGGCTTTGAAAGACAGTATAGGAAGAAAGCCCAAAACATGCTGCCAAAGGGAGAAAGCAGGAATCTCGGGAAACCAGAGAGGACGCAGGGAGTGTTAGGTAAGGAAGGACTGAAGAGCTCAGGAAGCTCAAGCCCTGGGTGGGGGGCGGGGGGAGCCTAAAGGAATGTTTTCCAGAAATGCAAAGCCTTATTTAACATTTTAGAAGTTAAGGGGCACCTGGGTGGCTCAGTCGTTAAGCGTCTGCCTTCAGCTCAGGTCATCATCCCAGGGTCCTGGATGGAGCCCCGCATCAGGCTCCAGGCTTGGCGGGAAGCCTGCTTCTCCCTCTCCCACTCCCCCTGCTTGTGTTCCTGCTCTCCTTCAAAAAAAAAAAATCTTAAAAAAAAAAAAAAACATTTTAGAAGTTAAAACTGCCATTTCCAAATTTCATAATTTCATTAAAAGACAAAATAGATAAGCATTTGGACATCAGTCCCCTTTATAGCAGCAACTCAAGAATCACTGAGGCTTTTCAAAAATACTAGCTTTTCAGGTACCAGTCCTACAAAATTAGTCTCCCAAGAGGGAGGGAGGGAAAACTGTAATTTTTTAAAAGCCACCAAGTGATTTAAAGTGTGACAAGGGTTTGAAATCATTCATTGAAACCTCTAAGAACTCCTGGTTCATATTTGGCTTGAGCCCTTTTAGAAGAATTAAAGTGGCAGAAAAATGCATAGATTGCTAAGCTGTTAGAAGCTGATTGTTAAATTTAAGACTTTAATAGAAAAATAAAAAGGGGGGTGCCTGGGTGGCTCAGTTGGTTAAGCAACTGACTCTTGATTTCGGCTAAGGTCATGATCTCAGGGTCGTGAGTTCAAGCCCCTCATCGGATTCTGCACTGTGTGTGGAGCCTGCTTAAGATTCTCTCTCCTCTTCTGCCCTTCCCACTTCTCTCCCTCTCTAAAAACAAAACAAAACCAAAAAAACCCGAAAACTTTAATAGGAATTTTAAAGTAATCAAGAAAAACTGCCCCACAAAGTTAAAAAAACCAACCATAAAACATACCCGTATGTTTATTAGCAGGAAAATACTGATGGCTGTCATTAGGACCATACATTTAGTGGAGAGTAAATGAGAGCTAGATTAGTAAATAAAACTGCCTGTAAACATTGGTAAATCAGTTATCCTCTTGGGTGTGGTTTGCAAAAGAACCTAGTGGCTATCTGAAGGGGTGGGGAGCAGCGCGTGGCTCTGACTGGGCGAGAAGTCCCCACGGTTTCATAGCCCCAAAAGCTTCCCGAACTACCATCACCCCACCTTTGGAAAATGCCAGTTACCTCCTCATTCCCAGAGCACAGCGTGAGCTGCACCTCGGCCTCGACTTCCTTACCGCTTTCCTTTGTCCCTGGCAGTTTAAGTTTGATCCTCACAAATCCATTAAAAGCCCCTTCCGGGCCCCCAGGGACCCCAGGCCTTGTAAATGCCGCAAAACACACAGCAGCCTTTCCAGGAGGAAGTCTCCAGAGCCCTGGGAGGCTTCTTGCTCCCTCCCTCCCAGCCAGGCTGGCAGCGGACCTTCAGGGACTTAGCTGCCCCCTCCTCCACACAGGCTCCAAACTTCACCACTCACTCCCCCCTTCCCATGATGTTGAAATCGTTTTTCCCATTTCTACTTTTTCTTGCTGTCCTTAAAGATAAGTATACAGAGTTTTCATTTGTTGTATAACATTCACTCCTCCTCAGGAAATGAAAATAACCATAGGGAAGCAAGTAAGTCACGGCTCCCCCTCCCTTGCTCAGGGGAAGCCTCTGGAGCAAGGCTCAGATGTTTACCTCTTCAGGTCAAATCATACCAGACATTTGCTGCCCTTTGGTTTCACCTTGCTGGGCAGAGTGTGTGTGCCTGGTGTCAATGGTCTCCTTTCCCACACGGGATTTTTCCGGGCTCCTTAGAGTATGTCTTTAAAAAATCAGTCCAGGGGCGCCTGGGTGGCTCAGTCGTTGGGCGTCTGCCTTCGGCTCAGGTCATGGTCCCGGGGTGCTGGGATCGAGTCCCACATCGGGCTCCCTGCTCCGCGGGAAGCCTGCTTCTCCCGCTCCCACTCCCCCTGCTCGTGTTCCTGCTCTCGCCGTCTCTCTCGCCGTCAAATAAATAAATAAAATCTTTAAAAAATTAAAAAATCAGTCCAATCTCCACCTAATTAGTCCACAAAGAGAGGCGAACAAAATGGGATATCATTTTCGTTCTATCAAGATGGCAAAAAAATAAGAAAGAAAAATGAAGCCTGATGATAACGAGTTTTGGCCCGCTTGCTGGTAAGGTGACTCACTCTGGCCCTGCTGGAGGGACTCCGAATCAAGAGACTTAACTATGCGCTTACTCTTCAACCCAGTAATCCCACTTCGAGGAAAATATCCTAAGGAAATAATCAAGAGATGCAGTCAAGGATTTAGGCACAGAGGATATGCAGAGCCATAATTGAGAAAAACTGGCAAGGGCTTCCGCGCCTCCCAGGTGGGGCTGGGCTCCGCAAACCCTCCTACATCCCTATGATGCAACGGGGCTCATGCAGCTGAGCAGTCCTCCGCTCGGCAAATATTAGGTACCTACTCTGCATTAGGTAAACAAAACAGGTATGCTCGCAGCCCCCCCGCCCCCCCCCCCACGGAAGATGCACCCACGAAAATTCAGGATCTCGGAAAACAATTTGAAACTGTGGACGTTATGTTTTGGGGGGAAGCAGGTTCCACACTGTATCACCCCCACTCTCTCAACGCCGGCCACGAGCAGTTACCGAGTCCGAAGAACATTTCCTTCAGGGGCGCTCCCGGGCCGGCCTCTCCTTTCCTTTTCAAAAACCGGGTCCCGAGGCGCTGAGTAACCTGAGCACAGCGGAAAGAGCAGCGACGCGGAAGTCTTCCGATTGGTTTCCAGTTCCAGGAAGTTGCCGACTTCGGGCAAATCACGTCGCCTCTGGCACTGTTTCTAATCAGAAGAATGAAAGAAAGGGCTGCACCCAGCCTTCAGGCTCTTTGAGTCCACTCACTTTTGGGACAGAGCTCTTCGTCTGTGAGGGAGGCCGACCCCGTGTTAGAGGGCCGGGGGGTGGGGGGAGAGGGGAGGGTGTGTGCGTGTCTATTTGCGGGAGTTCCACAACACAAAAGAAGGCAAGGGACCACCTAGACCGTGAGCAGACAGCCGGGCGTGCGGGGCGTGCGGGGCGTGCGGGGGTCGGGGGGCTCGGCTCCCCGCACCCCGCGCTCCTCCCCCGCCGCCGACTCCAGGCCAGCGCGCTGGCTCCCGCGCGACCTTCTCGCTCTGAGTTGCTCCTCAATACTCATGCATAACAGCTCCCAACGATGGGCGCTTCTAGGTGCAGCACATGGTGTAGGCGACTGAGTCACCTCACTTTCTCGCCCGCGAAGTGGCACGTCTGCGCGGCTCCTCGCGACGGCTTAGGACGGTTACAGCAATTAGACGGAGTCACGTGGCTCGTCCCTGGGCCTGGGCTCGTCACCTTTTTACAGGACAGTCTTCGTCGCTTCCTGAAAGGGCAGTGGGACGGTCTCCCACCGTGTCCCTCGTTCAGATCGCAGAAGACAGAAACAGGGAGCATTATGGTGCTTAGAGTTTGTTGCTTACCCACTGGGGGACGGTGGCCGCAGTTTATAAATGACCTTAGAATCTACTGGAGCCCCCCTGCTTCCACTTAGAAACTCGCTTTCTCCCGGCCCTGGTCCCCACAGCGCCCCTCCCCCGCCAGGGTGAGGGGTCGGCTCTGAAATGCAGTCGGCGAGGAACAATAGGCGCCCTCGCTCGGAAAGGCGGAGAGCGATTTGCATCTCACTGGAGCTCCCATCGGGACTCCCGGTGTGGACTCTGACCCTCGCACTAAAGATCTGCTTTGGTGTGACCTGTTAAGGTTTGCTGCTCCGAAGCAGTAAAGAGTCTTTGACATTCATGTCCGCTTAATTCAGGGATCTAAAATGGCAGTTTAGTGGCCGGATTCTGTGAGCTCCGTCCTATTGTAAGGAGAAGGCTGTGTGTCTGCGCATAGGTGCATTTTTCTGGGGAGAGTGTTCATAAATTTCCTTGGTTTTTCAAAGGGGCTCCCAGATGCCCACAGGTTAAGAACTTCCAGTGACAAGTGAGCCACCCTGAAAGGGAACAATGGTGCAAATCCTGTGGGAGGAGGAGGGGGCCGAGGAAAGGGAAAGACTTCACTGAGAGGAGGTGGGGGCGGGAGGGAAGACGATCAGGTGAAACTTCTCTAAGAGAGGCAGGATTTGGGGGATGGGAGGGGGAGGGAACATTCCTTTTACTCTTTTATTTTTAAAGATTTTATTTATTCAGTTGACAGAGAGACACAGCGAGAGAGGGAACACAAGCAGGGGGAGTGGGAGAGGGAGAAGCAGGCTTCCCGCGGAGCAGGGAGCCCGCTGCGGGGCTGATCCCAGGACCCTGGGATCATGACCTGAGCCGAAGGCAGACGCTTAACGACTGAGCCACCCAGGCGCTCCCGTTCCTTCTACTCTTACTGTGTGCCAGGCACTGTTCTAGACTAAAATTCATGAAGATTAATAATTCTTATAACAATCCCATGAGGTAAATAAGATTGTTCTGACTTCATAGATTCATTCATTTAGTAAATATTTATTGAGCGTTTATTATGTATCAGACACTGTCCCCAGAGCTGGGGATACAGCAGTTAGCAAAACAGCCGGAAATACCTCCTTTCAGGGAGCTTGCATCCCCCTGGGAGGCAGGATGAGGAACCTGGGTTCACAGAGAGTTACACAAGGATCCTCAGCTAGTAAGCAGTAGACATTTGAACCCAGTCAGTATAGCACCGGAAGCTGTTTTATTTATTTATTTTTATAATGATTCTAAACATAAGAAAACTAAAAATTTCTGTGCAACACCAACTACAACAAACCACCAAAAAGATTAAAGGAAAGTGAGAAAATATTTACATCAGATAGTGCAAAGAATAGCTTTAACAAGTTTTCAAACTAGGGACGCTTGGGTGGCTCAGTCGTTAAGAGTCTGCCTTCGGCTCAGGTCATGATCCCAGGGTCCTGGGATCGAGCCCCGCATTGGGCTCTCTGCTCAGCGGGAAGCCTGCTTCTCCCTCTCCCACTCCGCCTGCTTGTGTTCCCTCTCTCGTTGTGTCTCTCTCTGTCAAGTAAATAAATAAAATCTTTTAAAAAAAAGTTTTCAAACTACAAATCGAAACCAAAAGCAAACATTTAAAATGAAGAAATGGGCAAAGATTACTAAAACAATTTAGAAGAGAAAATATGAATGACCAATAATGTTGAATCCTGGCTTCCTGAATTATCATCAAGACAATCTGGTTATTGCTTGCACAGTGAGGAAAAGTACTAACTTGACTAGCCTGAGGAGCCTATCAGAGGGCAGAGGGGAAAGGGCAAAGTCTAGGTATTTATTGAACTTTTGAAGCCTGGTCTAAGGTGGATCTTTCGGGGGGGGGGGTGGGGGATCATGATAAAATACATTAGGATTGAGGGACACAACTGGGCAATAATTTAAGGGGAGGCATTTAAAGAGTCATAACAGCATGCTGTGTGGAAACCTAGAAGCTAAAATGCCAGTTGGCCTTCTTTGAAGGAGTGTGTGACTGCAGTCACGTGTGTTTCCTTGCACTAGGCACTTGTTGGATTCGTCCAGATTTACCTGACCTGCTTCCAGCCTTTGGCATAGAGTGTACCACATCTTAAGATGTCTGAGGTGCTTGTGGATAACAAAGTGATGAACTTAAGAAGCCCATTGAATGAGGTAGAAGAGAATGATGGGTAAATCAAGTTATTGGGTTGCCCCTAGTTTTTTTTTTCCATTTTAGTTTCAATGTATTCTCAACTTTTTGGTGTTTTTTTTTTTTTCTAATTTTTTATTTATTTGTTTGACAAGAGGGAACACAAGCAGAGGGAGTGTGAGAGGGAGAACCAGGCTTCCTACTGAGCAGGGAGCCCGATGCAGGTCTTGATCCCAGGACCCTGGAATCATGACCTGAGCCAAAGGTAGCTGCTTAACATGACCTGAGCCATAGATAGCTGCTTAACTGACTGAGCCACCCAGGCACCCCTTTTCTCAACTTTTCAATTAGATTTAAAAAGCCTTTATTGAGCTATCAATGACATTCAACAAATTTCACATACTGAAAGTGTGCAGTTTTGGTAAGTTTTGACACATGTATATACCTATGAAACTATCACCACAATCTGGATTATGAATCTATCTGTCATCCCAAAGTTTCCTTGTGCCTCTTTATCATCCCATCCATTTAGCAGCCCCTGTGTCCAAGCAAACAACCCATTTGTCTTCTGTCACTGCAGATTATTTGCATTTTTGTTTGATTTTATACAAATGTAATCCTATAGTATGTATTCATTTTTTGCCTTTTTTTACTCAGAATAATTACTTTGAGATTCATCTGTGTTGTTGCATGTATCTGTAGTTTATTCCTTTTTATTGCTAGTAGTATTCCATTGTGTGGATATATCACCAATTGTTTATCCACTCACCTGTTGATACCAATTGGGTTAATACCAGTTTTTGGCTATTACAAATAAGACTATCATGAATATTCATGTACAAGTATTTGTATAGATATATGCTTTTACTTCTCTTTGGTAATTAATTACCTAGGAATAGAATGGCTTAGTCATATGATAGGTATATGTCCAATTTTTTAAGAAACTGCTAAACAGCTTTCCAAAGTGGTTGTCCCATTTTACATTCCCATCTGCAGTATATGAGAATTCCAGTTGCTCTACATCCTCACCAACTTTTGGTATAATCAGTCCTTTCAATTTTAGCCATTCTCAGAGGTGTATAGTAGTATCTCATTTTAGTTTTAATTTGCATTTCTGAGATAACTAATGGTGATAAGCATCTTTTTGTGTGCTTTTTTTTTTAATTTTTTTTTTTATTTTTTAAAGATTTTATTTATTTATTCATGAGAGACAGAGAGAGAGAGAAAGAGAGAAGCAGAGGGAGAAGCAGGCTCCCAAGGAGCAGGGAGCCTGATGCGGGACTCGATCCCAGGACCCTGGGATCATGACCTGAGCCGAAGGCAGACGCCCAACCATCTGAGCCACCCAGGCGCCCCTTTTTGTGTGCTTTTTGATATTCCCATATCTTCTTTAAGTGTGCATTCAAATTATTTGCCCCTTCTTGTTGTTGTTGGGCTGTTTATCTTACTGCCTTTTTTTTTTAAGATTTTATTTATTTATTTTGCCAGAGAGAGAGAGAGAGAGAGCACAAGCAGGGGGAGGGGCAGGCTCCCTGCTGAGCAAGGAGTCCTACGCAGAACTCGATCCCAGGACCCTGGGACCATGACCTGAGCCGAAGGCAGACGCTTAACCAATTGAGCCCCCCAGGCGTCCCTATCTTATTGCTTTTTGAGGGTTTTTTATATACACTGCATACAAGTTCTTTATCAGATATGTGATTTGCTAATATTTTCTCCCAGTCTGTGGCTTATCTTTGCACTCTCCTAATAGTATCTTTCAAAGAGTATATTTTTTGGCAGAGACTACTTAGTCCCAGGCCTGGCCTTAGTCTCCTCTCCTTTTACACCCGAGGCCTTTGCCACAAATATGCTCCCCTAGGTCCTTGGTTAGGCCAAGAAAACATTCAAGCTTGATTTCTCTCTTCATATTTATGGGAGCTGGAGGTACTGGAGAAGCAGTGTATGTCTTGTGTCTGGCATTGTTCCATCCAAATATCTGTTGGGATGAAGAGAGTAACCCAGAACCCAGAGTAAAGTGTGTCCTAATGATCAATGCAAGTTCTACTCAGTGAATGTAGATTACAGCAAAGTGAAGAAAGAGGATTCAGACTTCTAACTGAAATGTTTGACTATAAAACTGCTTAGAATGAAGGTCTTCAGAAGTCATTTGTACAGTTTTCTGCTTAACCAAGAACTATTTCCCCTCTGAATGCTCAAAGTCGTGTTGATGTGCTATGTTGGAGTTTTACACTGATTAATAAATATCTCCAACTTGAAAAAAAGAAGAGCATACAGTCTTAATTTTTATGAAGTCCAGTTTATCACTTTTTTTCTTTTATGGACTATATCTTTTGTTGTCATATCTAAGAAATCTTTGCCTCACTCCAGGCCATTTACCTTTGTTTTCAAGTTTTACAATTTTAGGATTTACATTTATATCTATGATGCATTTCCCCACCCTGGGAAAAGGTTTATTTGATAATCCAATTTGCTTTAAAATTTTTTTAAAGTCACATTCAACATGGGACTAACAGAAACATGAACAGGCACATTATGAACCCTCCACCACCCTGCAAAAAGCATATGAAAAACAAGAACAAGGTTAGAGAAATTCAAAACTAAGTTGCCTAACTTATGACGACACAAAGTTGTCTAAATGAGCCTATCATGAAGACTCAAGGAGGTTTTGTGTATGGTAATCAATCAAGTCTGCCTGCACCACAGTTTGATCTGTTTAGTTGAATTGCTTCAGCAAGCAGTGTTCTCAGCTTCTCCACACTGTCCACCAAGCGGTTCACCATGGGATAAGCAGTGAGTCTTTCCAGGGGAACAAAAACCTTTCCCATACTGTAAGGTTTGGG